TATATCTATATCACATTTTCTTTATTCATTCATCTGTTGAAGGGCAATCCCGAAAAGCCAGAGGCTGAATGTTCTTTCTGATATGTGGATGCTAACTCACGATGATGGAGGGAGGGGGGGGAAGAATAGATGTACTTTGGATTAGACAAACGGGAATGAAGGGAAGGAGGGGGAATGGGAATAGGAAAGACAGTAGAATGAATCAGACATGACTATCCTCTGTGCATATATGATTACATGACCAATGTGATTCTACATCACATACAACCAGAAGAATGAGAAGTTATACTCCATATATGTATAATATGTCAGAATACATTCTACTGTCATGTATAACTAATAATAGCAAATTTTTTTTGAAAAAGGAAAATAGTCCAGTAAGGCCAGCTGGTCATCAATGGGTTTTAAGTGACGACGTAGCTGTCAGATTCCTTCAGCTTTTGTGCTGATCCCTTTATCCCTCTTCCTTCCCCTGGGTTCCGGTTGGGCCCAAGTCCAACAGAGGAGCTTCTTTTCCACGGATGACACCACCCTCCTCTTGGTCCATGTTGTCTTCATGCGTGTATCTGGGGTTCTTGTGTTTCTGCTTTTACATGTAGATGTTGAATGAATTTCTTTTGGTGTGACCAGGCGTATCTCTGCATGCTGTTCTCCACGAATCTGTGTGTTCTGGGAAGGTATATTTCCTTGGAGAATGGTCGAGGAGAATATATTGGCATGTCATATTGATTGAGCTCAGGCTTCTCCATGTTTGAGCTCAGGGTTCTCTATCGTGGGAGAAGGCTTCTTGCCGTGGGCTTTGATGGAGCCATCTCCATAGTCTGGTTCCCCCTGACAGTGGTTCAGGTCTACGTGGGGACTGTTGAGCCAGGTCCCTGCCTTTGCTCTCGGAACATAATCGTAGTAAGAGCGGTGGCAGTTTCTCACCAACTTGATTTTTCTCACCTCCCTCCTTCCCCAGAGATGACCTGGTCTAGAGATTGGGATTAGTGGAAGGGTTTGCTTTTGTTTGAAGGGCATCTGGGTTGGCTCCACAGTCTAGCTATTGTGAATTGTGCTGCTATAAACATTGATGTGGCTGTGTCCCTGTGGTATGCTGTTTTTAGGTCTTTTGGGTGTAGTCCGAGAAGAGGAATAGCAGGGTCAAATGGTGGTTCCATTCCCAGCTTTCCAAGGAATCTCCATACTGCTCTCCAAATTGGCTGCACTTATTTCCAGTCTCACCAGCAATGTATGAGTGTACCCTTTTCCCCGCATCCTCGCCAACACTTGTTGTTGTTTGTCGTCATCATGGCTGCCATTCTTACTGGGGTGAGATGGTATCTTAGAGTAGTTTTGATTTGCATTTCTCTGATTGCTAGAGATGATGAGCATTTTTTTTTTTTTGTATATGTTGATTGTATATCCTCTTCTGAGAAGTGTCTGTTCAGGTCCTTGACCCATTTATTGATTGGATTAGTTCTTTTTTTTTTGGGGGGGTGCTTATCTTAAAGAGCTCTTTATATACCCTAGAGATAAGTGCTGTATCTGATGTGCAAGGGGTAAAAATTTGTTCCCAGGATGTAGGCTCCCTGTTCACCTCAGATTATTTCTTTTGCTGAGAAAAAAACTTTTTAGTTTGAATCCGTCCCACTTGTTGATTCTTGGTTTTAATTCTTGTGCTATAGGCGTCTTATTAAAGAAGTTGGGGCCTGATCCCACATGATGAAGATAAGGGCCTACTTTTTCTTCTATTAGACGCAGAGTCTCTGGTTTAATTCCTAGGTCCTTGATCCATTTTGAGTTAACTTTTGTGCATGGTGAGAGATAGGGGTTCAATTTTATTTTGTTGCCTATGAATTTCCAGTTTTCCCAGCACCATTTGTTGAAGATGGTGTCCAGAAGATCACAACTATTTGTTGTTGTTGTTGTTGTTTGTTGGTTTGTTTAATTAGGCATATTGGTGAAGTATTATCTGAGTCCTGTGGAAATTCTCGTTCCCCAGTATTGCTAGATGTGTTGAGAGTCAGACCATTCTCTGTAGGTGAGAGTGTGCACAGCTCTTGGAGGCATTTATAAAAGACGCTGAGAGTCCTTCAGCGCCAGTCTTAGCTTGTCAGTTGGGCGGCCAGCCAGGTCCCCTGCTGTCTCTGAGTCATTCTGAGGAGGTGCTGGACGAGAGGAAGATGCCTGCACTTCTTCCCTTGCGTGGTTTTTCAGAGCAGCAGGTCTCAGGCCTTCAGGAGACGCAGACGTCTACTTTAACAGGTCTCTGTCCAGTGGTACCTGTCCCAACCCGGTGCACTTTCCAGGGGATGCCCAGGCTTTGCCAGGGACAGATGCCAGGGACAGTAGACTTGCCCCAGTTTGGAGGGTGTCCGCTGGAAGTCAGCAGGATAGGAGTCCTGCTGGGACAGAGCCCCTTCTCCAGGCAGCACAGGGTATACTTGTCGGTGGTCGGTGGTCGTGGGCTGGCCCTGTTGCAGATCACTGTTATTTCCCCACTGATGGACTTTGTGGGATTTCCTGGGCCCCTCCTTGTGGCCTTGCTGAATAGAAATGCAAAACCTACAACCGCTGGAGAGTTGTGCTTTGAAACTGGGCCTGAGGAGAACCTTTAAAATTGCCTTTTCATTTTAAAATTTTGATCAGGGAAGTAATTTTCTGCTGGAATCCAGGCACCCAGGGACAGTCTAGGTCAGTGTAGGAGCGAGGGATGAAACAGCGTGGTCCCCAGTGTCTGTCTGTGTGGCTAAGGCTCATGTCTGCAGAGGAGCTCCCTGTCCCACAAAGGCCCAAAGACTCTGGAAAATCAGCCTGGGACAGGGCCAGGAGTGAAGTGTGCCAGGACGCATGCGCGTGCCCCACCCAGGGCCGGGCCGAGGCTAGCCTCTGGGTGCAGTAGGCATGGAGAAGTACCCGCCCCCCTGGGAGAATGCCACAGGTAGAGGGTGAGGGGGAAGGTTGGGAGCACAGTGAACTGGAGGGCCACCAAGAGCTCAGGACAAGCAGGGTGGGCGTCTGCACAGAAGTCCACGGTGACACAAAACGTGGCTCAAGGGCCACCTCCCCAGGAAAGCTGATCTTGCACCCTCATTAGCTCTTCTGTGTGCTTGGCAATCCCCATGTATTCTGGAATAAGAGCGTGCTCATTGTCACATGGCCACATTCCATGCACCTGGCTATCCTTCTTCTATCCTTATAGTCCCCAGTGCTGGCGGATGCAGGTCCCTAAGTATGAGAATGGTGCCTGAGCTGGGTACAGTGACACATGCCTGAATCCTAGTGACTCGGAAGGCTGAGGCAGGAGGATCTCAAATTTGAGGCCAGCCTTAGCAATTTAGTGAGCCTCTAAACAGCCTCAGTGGTTGAGTACCCCTGGGTTCAGCCCCCAGGACCCCTACTCCCCTCAAAAAAAAATGGTGAGTGAGTCACTGAATGATGGGAGGACTAGGACTTTCAAAATAGGAATTGGCTTTTAGGAATCTTAGATTTCCATTACACAAAGTTGATCTCACCAAATTTCCCCTGACAGTGTTCCTTTGGTTTACATGACTCTGTGTGTGTGTGTGTGTGTGTGTGTGTGTGTGTGTGTGTGTGTGTGTGTGTGTTATTATGCAGATCACTAATTGAGGCTGCCCTCTCAAGGAGATTAGCTGACTGACTTCTAGATTGTCTTTGGACTCTGTGTTAAACTCTTAAAGCAGAGCCCTAAGGGGACAGGGCAGTTTCTCTGCTGTCCAGCTGGTAGGCCAGGGGCCTCATTGTCTTGGTGTGAAGTGGAGATCCCTGGGCTACCTGAGAGCGTTGGAATGCAGCATGGTCATCCAGGAACCAAAGGCACTGCCCTCCCCCACCCCCCGGGTGCTCCAGCTATTGTAAATCACCCTCACAAGACTCAGCAGAGTACTAGGAATGAGACTCAAAAGGGCAAGAGAAAAACAGAGTTATGGTATTTAGTACCCTGATGGCTGGTGAAGAGCTTGGAGATCTGCAGATATTAGGATACACTCATACTTAGGGGCTCCATCTTATAGCAGAAAGAGCCCAGGTAGGAGGTGTGGGAGTCTGCATCAGAATCCCAGCCCTCCTGTGTGTCTGACCCAACATTGTTGAGCTTCAGTGTTCTTACCTTGAATGATTATGTGGGCCAAGAGAGATGGGGTATGTAAAACTCTTGGTCTTATTGTAGCAAACTCCTCTTTGAGGTCATGTGTATCCTGCATCTGGCACCAGGAGTGTGTTCCTGTGTCACCCCCTGCTCATTCCTGAGTATGGGTGCCCTCCCCCATGTACACTCCTCCCTGTGGACGTTACCTGTCCTCTGCTTCCCCATGGATCACCCATGGTTCTAGCAGATGAAAGCTTGGAGACCTTGAGCGCTGGGAGAGAGATGGCCACTCTCTGCATACATCCTGCTGAGAGCCAGTCCAGGGGCCTTGTGGACCATGAAGCTCAAGTGATCTCAGCTGTCGCCGACTTTAAGTAGACTCTGCCCTTATGTGACTGCCATTGTGCTGCTGATGTATATAGACCTAAGCCCCAGGATTCCTTACTCCCGGGGGCAGGGTGACGTATGACACAGAGCACTCAACAAGGTCCTTGGAAACCTCTGAGTCTCTTTCTTTCGCTCATGAGCTCTGTGACCATCTTTAAGTGTCTTGCCCTTTCTGGCATCCTCAATTCTCTATTTTGTAAACTGAGGAAAAATAGGAAAATCTCTATGCAACCTGTATCTAAATGTGCATCACAATTTGTCACTTCTTCCTCTTCCAACTGTTGGCCGGATGAAATACAGCTAATCACGGAGCCCGGAGAAAGACAGGGAAGCCATACGTCAATGAGACTCAGTGTGGTCTTTCAGTTCTCATCCTGGTGACACAGGGTGTGTGCAGCTCAGCCGATTTTGGAGGGAAATTATCCTTATATTTTGTTACGTGGCCTGACTCGGAGGATTTTTCACTGAGGACCTACTTATCCCTTGAAAAAGCCTTTCTATCAATCTCACCTTCTTTCTGCAGTATCCAACGAGCAGCTTTGGTGGTTCTGGAAAATTACTACAAAGATTTCACCATCTATAACCCGAACCTCCTCACAGCCTCCAAATTCCGGGCAGCCAAGCACATGGCCGGGCTGAAAGTCTACAACGTAGACGGTATGTACCTGGAAACCGTGTCCGGTGTGTGCAGGGGCACGTTGGAGTGATGGTGTAGTTTAAATGTCATGGTATATTTGGATTCTACCTTCTCTTTGTGCTTACCTTGTGTACTTTCTCATTCCAGAACAATTTCTTTCTCTTTTTTTTTTTTTTTGAATGTAGGCAAACATTTGCAGAGGAATGTTGACTATGTGGGAAGTTTATTCATTTGGGGATTTTTATGATTGAAGACAACAGTGGGTGTGTCTCCTGCCTCCTGCTGGGAATCCCATATATTGAAAGCTGTTAGGAAAGGGGCAACTTTTGAAAATTTGAAGAAGTTATAAAAAAGACGCAGAAAGCTACCCGGATCCATTCAGATTAGAAATTTCTGGTGGTTCGGGCACCTGGTGAAATGCTTCGGAGACATTTCTCAGTCCTGGTTAGGAGGTAGATGGCAGGAGGTTGGTGGCCAGGCTGGGGAAGTCCAAGTTGTGTTTCAGGGTGTCAGATGGTAAAGGGCAAGAAACAAGACCCCAGTGTCGTTCTTGCAGGGCACCTTAGGTCAGGGTAAGAGCTTTGCAACTCTAGAAGAGGATTATGCTGTCCACAAGTCGATTTATTTATGTCCATTTCTGGTGGCAATATCCTTCCTGCCTTTTCGGGGCAGTGAACAAGGTGAGAGCTTCCTGGTAGATCCTGAAGGTCTGGTAAATTCCACCTGTGATCTAAAAACTCAGGTAGATTTCTCCCTAGTGAATGCAACAAGTCACCACCAGCCAAGTAAGCCGCCCATTATTAGAAAGCCTGAAATCTGCCGTGTCTTTCGGATAAGAAGGTCAGCAGTGATAGAACACGGTGGTTTGAATTAACAGATGGGCCGTTTTGCATGTCCTTAAAGCATTGGTATTTTCTGTAAACGTGGTGGCTGCCGTGACGTTCCAGCCTAGCTTGTCTTCCTGTGTGTGACCAGTGTCTCATGTCCCTTGACTTTCTTTTTTCTCTGTCTGTCCTTGTTCTCCCATCCCCGCTCATTCTCTCTCATTGTTTGCTGACATGTGATGTCCCAGCTGCCCTTATGGCCAAACTGAAACTTTGTGTAACAGATGGTAAGTGACATCTTCAGCACACTCTGGGTGTTGTATTTTGGCCCGTGTTTTAAGTGTTGAGCATTCTGAGGTCCTTCTCGATTTCCCCTCATCAGATTGGGGTTAGATGTCCTTGCTCTCGTTGCCTTGGTCATAGGGAAAGTGGAGCCGGGGTCCTGTTCCCCCTCCTGGGAAGTTACTTGTCGGGACTGTCTGTGGCTTCTTGGGGGCTGGGTGGACCATGCTGATGGACTGCGGTTCTAGTTATCTGCTTTTTCCCCAAAGGCCCCAGTAACAACGCCACAGGTCAGTCCCGGGCCATGATCGCTGCGGCCGCTCGGCGCAGGGACTCCAGCCACAACGAATTGTATTACGAAGAGGCTGAGCATGAACGGCGGGTGAAGAAGCGGAGAGCAAGGTATGTGGGCCTCCCCACACCACGCCCCTTTGTTGTGGATTTATTTCCCCTTTGTTTTTATGCTGCCCAAATGAACATTCTATTTACAAACGATCTGCCTGCGCCCTTGGAGTGTACCTGGCTCCTGTGTTTCCCAGACTTTATAGCCAGCACCAGGAGGGCTTGTGAACACAGGTCACGGGGTCAGGACATCCCTATGCACTCAGTAGGTCTGGGATGAGGCCCGGAAATCTGCATTTCTAGTAGATTTCCAGGTGATGCCTGGCCTGCCTTGAAGTGGTCCTGTTCTACGCCCTCAATCCTTGCTGGCTTTCCAGATCTGCTTCTGTTGACTGTAGGGGACAAAGGTGATGGCCCTCTCCTGTGTGGGTGGTGTGCCTCTTCCTTCCCTTTTCCCGTGGCCACAGGGTGGGTGGCTGGATGAAAGGGACAAAACTCTGGTACTTTGAAAGCTGCTTCTGCACAACAGCTACCTCTCGGTGTGTGCTGATGTCTTTTCAGCCAGCCTTTGAGGGGCTTTACAACTCTTTTTATCTCAACCTTCATCATAGAGATGGAAAAAACGGATCAAAGTAAGTTTCCCAAGCTCCATCGGTAGCAAAACGGAGAACAGAGTTCACATGCCAGGCCCAGTGCCTGCCTCCCACATCTAATTTTTTTTGCTGTTAACTTTCTTTTTTCTCCCTCTCCCTCAACCCTCTGGAGACCAGCTAGGGGTGCAAGCTGTGTGACCGAGCCTGGCCCAGTTGGTGGTGGCCAGGCTCCTGTCGGTGGGACAGGTGGCCCTCCCAGGTCCTGGGGGACGGTTCTGAAGCCGGCAGTGGGTGCTGCCCTGATGACTGTGTCCCATCACTTCTCAGGCTGGTGGTGGCAGTGGAAGAGGCCTTCATCCACATCCAGCGCCTCCAGGCAGAGGAGCAGCAGAAAGCCCCAGGGGAGGTGATGGACCCCCGGGAGGCGGCCCAGGCCATCTTCCCCTCCATGGCCAGGGCGCTGCAGAAGTATCTGCGCACCACCCGGCAGCAGCACTACCACAGCATGGAGAGCATCCTGCAGCACCTGGCCTTCTGCATCACCAACAGCATGACGCCCAAGGTGCGCTCCTCGGCCGGCCCAGTTCATCACCAGACATGACCAGTCGGGATGCAGGGGGTTGTTAGTTTGAGGATCCCTTCTCTAAAATGCTTGGAACCAGAAATGTTTCACATCTGGGCTCCCCTCACCCAAATTTTGGGACATTCACATGAGCCTAATCAGATATCTTGGGCATAAGATCCGAGTCTAACGAGGAAAGTCATTTATGCTTTATAAACACCTGATACACAGAGCTTGGAGGTGATTTCATGTAGAATTTTAAATTATTCTGTGCATGAAGCAGAGTTTCTGGACATTGGCCGTCAGGCTGTGGCATCATGACAGTGCTCAGAAAGTTTTGGGTTTTGGACCATGTTAGGTTTTGAATCTTTGGATTAGAGATGCTCAGCCTAATCCAGGTGGTAAAAGGGATGACAAAATGAAAACCTTCTCTAAAACACCAAGGAATAAGAATTAGTGATTCTTATTCATTGTCTATTACCTTAGTACCATTGTTTTCTAAATCTGCCTTTCAAAGTCCTCTGCATTCTAGGAGAGGAAAGAATTTCTACCTAGAAATAGGAGAGATTGGTGGTCAGGGCTGCTCTGTGGGTGCTGGAGCTGAATTGACTTATTCTAACCTGGCTCCTCCTCCTCCAACTAGCTGTGCAGCCTGGGGCAAATACCACATGTCTCTGTGTCTCAGTTTTCTAACCTGAAAACTGGCGATAATAAGTAATGCCTACCTCTCTTGGTCACTATGAGAGATAAAAGAGTTAATTTATATGAAGTGCTTAAGATAGCACCTGTCACGATAAGGACAATGAAAGAGCCATTGCTGTTGATCAAAATCATGCCATCACTTTGTTGGGAGTTTTCAATATTGTAGAATTCATTTTCCTGAATGGTCTTTTGGATATGAATCAATACACTTTTAGGGATATTAAAGAACATCCATATAATAGTAGAGAGTTGTGGCCAAGGAGGCAAAGTAGAGTCAGAGTAGCATATGCCATCTCTTTAGACAGTGCTGGATTCAAATTCTGGTCCCACCTACCACATTGGTTTGTGGCTGTGCACAAGTTATTCTACACTTGTGGCTTGTTTTATAAAATAGGGATAATATCTATACCTCATTGGATTGTTAAGAATGATATCAAATATGGTGATATGTAAATGTAGATCACATGGTACAAGTGAATGAGCTTGGCATCGTGCATATGTAACATTTGGAAGCTATTTATAAATAGGAGCATATTGTACCATATGAGGATCCTGCTGGTTCTATTATCTGCCCTACAGCCTGTAGGAAAGAAATACTGAAATATTCAGTAAGAAATAAGGTTTTCCATATGAGACTCACTAATCCCTTTCCTAGGAAAGATATTCAGCACAATCTGATAAGCGATCAGCTCTCCATATCTGTGAGTTCCACACCTATAAATTCCATATACATGAAAAATATTCAGGAAAAAGAATTGCATCTTTACACGCACACAGTTTTTTTCTTATCATCATTCCCAGAACAATACAGAATAACAACTATCTGAATAGCACTTACATTGTATTGGATATTGTAAGTAATCTAGTGGTAAATTCAAAGAATAAATAGGAGGGTGTGTGACTTATATACAAACACTACTTACTTTTATGAGGGACTTGAGCTTACTCTGATTTTGGTATCTGAAGAGGAACTGGGACTGGAACCTGTCCTTCTGTGGATACGCAGGGATGATTATATACAAGAATATACATGAAAGTTCTATTTATTTATTTTGCAAAATAACCTGTCATAACTCAAAACTGGAAATAATTTAAAAACAGAACAGTGATTGACAAATTATGGCATATTACCTGTTGAAATGTGGGGGAAAATTTTTGTTAAGAGTATTAAGCTACAAAAAAAGGCAGAATGCAATAAAGTACCTACACTGTTTGCAAATGAAGAAAATAAGTCTGCAGTGTGCAGAGCCTTGGCTTGTATCCTGTAGAACAAATAGTTGTTCTCCCTTTTTCAAGATTTTTTTAGTTTCCTGTTTGCTTCCTGTTTCGTTTAAAATGCCTATACTTCTCCGAGTTAAAAATAAGTATTTTTAGCATAAAAATCCAAATACTAAGGAAAAGTCTAGTAGAATAATTGCCATTTTCATCTCCCACCTCCAACAGTTCTTTCTGTTAAGTTGATGTGTATTCATTCAGGTATAGGGGTGTGTGTGTGTGTGTGTGTGTGTGCACACAAAATTGAAAATCAGAAATGGAATCACACTCCATGTATATATTTTGGAAACTTGCTTTTTTCATGTAAAGCTCTATGGTTTTTTTTCCCCAGATACCATGATTTGTTTAACTTATTGCCTCTTGATGCACATTTGGATTAAGAGGTTCATTATTCAAAGCCAGAGGCTGCCTGTTCTTGTGAATCACATTGTATAGGATGGAGCTCCGCCCTTTCTGGACATACCACTGTGGCTGCTTTTGCTCTATCAGCGGAGGAGTTTGGATAGAGTGTTGCTGGAAAAGCTGCAACTGTTGGCATTTGTAGAGAAGTCTCTCCACCCCTGGCCTAATGGGCTGAAGTGAGAGACTTTTTTTTACATATGTATCTCTGCCAGTATTTCATATCTGAAGGATACATTTCTAGTAGAGAAACAGCAGGATCAAAGTTACAGATTCTGCCAAATTATGTTCTCTGGGTGGGGGGGGGGGCGGGGTTCTTTTCCTGCATTTGCCTGTGGCATCTGCGAATTTGTATTTCCCCACATTCTTGGCAGCATGAGGCATTATCATGCTTTTTAATCATTGACCATCTGAGAGGAGGAAATGTTTTGTTATTATAGATTTCTTTAGTTATTAATGTGATAGCAAAATTTTCATGTTATTTTCCATCAGTGATAATTCTTCTATAGGTTATTAGCATCATTTCTCTAATTATGAGTTATTTCTTTTTCTTATGATTCATAAGAGCTACTTTTATATTAGAAGTGAGAAACTAAGCTGGACCCCCACTTTCTGCCTTAGAAAAGATGCCGCACCACAGATCAGAAATAATGTACCTGGCAGTAGCAGAGAGGTATGGATGGAAGGGGAGACCACTTAAAAAAATGTCCTTGATCTCTATTTAAGACTAGATGGATATATCCCAGTATTTTTCTATATGTATTTCTGCCTGCTTCTTAGTTTCTTCTCACAGATAAATCAGTGTCTGCATTTGATATCATATATCTGCTATGGCACTCCTAGTCTATGCCACACACATTGGAAATTCAAATGTGAGAAGAAAAAAAAAAAAAAAAAGAAAAGGAAACAGGTCCTGCTCTCTGATACAGTGAAGTCTACTATGGGGAGGAGACAAGCAAGTCATCAGTAATTGTCCAGAAAATAAATGTCACATGGGACCATGCCAGTGATTATAGGAGCTTTGAGAAGGGCATGTGAATCCCATTTGAGAGATTCAGAGACATGGTTTGAGAAGATTTGGAGGACAGGGAGGAATTTGCTGGAAACAACAGTGTTTAGCAGGAGGAATGATACTTAGGAAGATGGAGTTCAGCCAGAACACTCCAGGGAGTTAGGTATCGTGGAGCAAGAGCCCACGAGAGGGAAGGGGAACATTGGCTGGCTAAGTAGGCACTCTGTTCAACGTGCAGTAACCAGTGTTCACAGTGATCGAGCTCACTGCACGCCAGGCAGGGCTCTGAGTGCTTTCTGAGAACTAACCCTCCCCTCTTCCTGGAAGCCCTGTTATGCCCCCCTAAGGAGAAGGGAAATATCTGGAGCAAGGTCATGCTATCAGTAAGTCATCAAACACGCACTTTGGTCCATGCTAGAAGGTTGATCTGCTTTTTCAGTATACTATTCAGATTATATCGAGTACTTCTCTGAGCCTGCTGTTTGCCCTGACCCTAAGGCATGCTTGGTTTAGTTGGAAGAGGTAGAGGAGTATAAGCAGTGGGGTCCAGCCCTTGGAGTCACAATGACTTCCAAGTAACCGTGGCTGCCAGCCACCCCACATTCCCACGTCTGTGGGAACCACCCCCTCACCTTCTGGTTGGAGATTGGCACAGGGGAATGAGGAAGTCCAAGAAGTCTCCCCTCCTCAGGAATGACTCAACTGGGAGGATCTGGTGGGAATTTGCTGTGGCCAGAAAAGCACCGCTCTGAGGTCCTTGTTGAACTTGGAAAACATATTCCTAGGTGTGCAGAGGGCTACTGGCAGGACTCCCCTGGGATTCTATTTCCTCCATCACCATCTTTCTCTCCTTTCAGGCCTTCTTAGAACGATACCTCAGCGCCGGACCCACCTTGCAGTATGACAAGGAGCGTTGGCTGTCTACGCAGTGGAGACTGATCAGTGACGAGGCAGTGACGAACGGGTTACGGGATGGGATCGTTTTCGTCCTTAAATGCTTGGACTTCAGCCTCGTAGTCAATGTGAAGAAAATTCCATTCATCGTCCTCTCCGAAGAGTTCATAGACCCCAAATCTCACAAATTCGTTCTTCGCCTACAATCTGAGACATCAGTTTAAAAGTCCTATATTTGTGTCTTTATATAAAAAGAAGAATATATAGAGAATTATATATGTCCAGAGGGGTGTCTTTTTTTAAAAAAAAAAAAAAGTTTTTTTATTCTTCATTGATGACTGAAACTGGCAGATGATAGACCAGTATCCTTTGACCATCTGCACTTTATTCGTAAGGAAGCAGGGGAGAGCCATCCTGACAAAAAGTGACCGGTGGCCCCTGACTTTCATAGAGGGGACTTCTCAAAAAGCCGTTCTCTGGAGTCTGCGACGGCTGTAAACCAAAGCAGAGCTGCTGCATCCTCGGGAGCCTCGCCTTACAACTAGTCCCTGCCTCTCGTCCAGATCCAGGACCACATCCCCCGTTGCTTCTGGTCAACCTCTTCCTGGATTCTAGGGGACCCATCTGATTCTGTTTCACCAGACCCTGCACATCCGTGTGGGAATCACGGGCAGTTCCAGAGACTCCTAGCCTTCATCTTTGTTCTTTGTTGCCTTAGATGCCTCAGAGAAAGATCTCCCCTACACACACACACACACACACACACACACACACACACACAAAATGTGCACTATCAGGTTACAGCTATTAAGTGATTTACTTTTTTTGTTTTTTCAAAGAGAAAACCTTCCTGCTCTGTTCCTGATCCCATTCCTCTGCTCATTCAACCAGGGAGCCCTTTCCTGTCCCTGGGATGGCCCAGCTGGACTTCACTCCATCCCACCCTCTGTAGCATACATACATACTATGGCCCTACCCCATGGGCAACCCTGGCTAGGCAAGCTCAGCTCTCCAAAGATCTCCACGTGTGCCCACAGGCTCTTTGTTTCCACAGGGAAGAATGGCCTACCAGGTAGAACCCAGTAGAGCGGACCTACTGGCACGCCCTCCTAGGCTGCAGCAGGAGCTGCACTCCACCCTACCCCATCCTTCTCCCCCACAGATCCATACCAACCAGGGGAGACTAACATTGTGACTCTGGGGTGGGCAGGTGCCCATTTGAAGCCATCTGATTTCCTAGGGCAATAAGTTCTCATGCAACTCAACCTGCCCTGCCAAGCGGGACCAAACAATGCCGTTCACACTGGCAACGATTGCTGGCCAGTCCCTGTGTTTCCTGACCACAGTCACTGTGCAACTTATCACCTCAGCCACTTGCTTGGGGGCTCGCTTGGTTCCTGATATATCAATTGTTCAATTGTTGGTCAGGTAGAGAGAGGAAAAGGGGAGGAGGCTACAGAGTATGGGGCAAGGAGATGAGGGAGCCAATCTTCTAGTTCAAAATGGTTCTTCTGTGATCTCTTTCTTAAAGGCAGCTGGCTTCTGAGGGCTCTCCCCAAGCTGCACAAACTGTGGGCAGGGGATCTGTCTTGGGCAAAATCCTGCTGCAGGGGAGTGCCTTCAGGAGCCACATCTAGATACCTTTCAGTGGTTTGTGCTTATGTTTACCCTCCTTTATCTGCAGCAAACCTATTAAAAGTAATCATTCTTCCCTTTCCCCAATATTTAGGGTGACCAGTTATCTCGTCTCAGTGGAGGATGGCAGCGTTAAAATGTCTGTTGTTCCATGTGTCTGCGCACGCACTTGCCATTCCATGCATTTGGCAAGCCGCAGGGTATTTTTGTGGGTCCTTTTAAAAATTAAAATTGGCTTTGGGTATCTGTAACTACAACTGTACCTGAAATCAAGTTAACATTGTTCTTGATTCAGCAGCCTTCAGCTCAAAAAGATGGGCTGGAGGAGAAAGGAGGAGAAAGCCGTGGGCGTGGCGTGGAGCCAGGATGTACGATTCAACAGCGTGGTTCTGTTTATGAAAAACACATACCATGTAACCATGGTGCTTTTTGTTCTCCGTTTTTGCCTCTGGGTCCCTTCAAACTGGAAGTTCCTTATGATGTCTTTCTCAGGAAATATTTCTTAGGTAGGATAAGAGAGGGTGAATAGATGTGAGATTTGGGCCACGTAAAGAGAACATCTCAGACCAGCCGCTGTGCCATGAATACGGTGCAGTTGGGAAGTGCCGTGAACGTGTGTGTGTACCTAGAGTCAGTAATGATACTGTTCATTGGCATTTTAAAATACTGGGCTTCCAACCGTATCTTGAATTACCAGTCTGGAAGGAGTTAATTTGGATTCATTCACTTTGGCATGTACATTCCCAGCAGGGTGAAGAAAGGTTTAAATTAAGGAATTTATTTTCTCTCTCCTCCTCTCCCCATCGTCTCCCTCTTCCACTCTTTGTACAGGAGAACGTCAGACTTTCTGAAATTATTGTTTCTGTTTTAAATTGAATATCGATTTTTTTTTTTACACAAACTTTGTATTGAGTCCTTCTTGAAAGAGTAACAAAATGAAATACAGGATCCTTATAAAGCCTTGGTACTTTCGACATCTTAATAGCTAGAGTTACTGGTGCATTGGGAACTATGTAGATGGCATTAAAAAATGTAAGGTTGCAGAAAGCTGCATCGCACAATTGAACACAATAAATTTTTATTTCAGTTCTTGGAAACAGCGGGCTGTTCTTTCTAATGGGGCAAAACGGTGCCCCAAGGCTAGTAGAGTGTATGCTCCTATGAGAGGAGATAGGATTTCATTTACCTTAAATGTTTATAGATTTTCTATAACTTTCAACCTAAGTTATTAAAATCTAACATTAAATGTGAAAGAAGAACTTAATGAGGAGTATAGGTCTCAGATTGCTGGCTTCCCTGGTGAAGTTTTAACCAATAGGGAACTTTTGGTCATAATAAGTATGTACTTTCAAAAAAATATGACAGTTTTTAATAGTCCATGTACTCAATGTTAGATTTTTGTAAAAGCCTGCCTTCTGGGAGTTGGAAAAGAGAAAGTTGGATAGTTATCCATTCTTTGTACTATCATGTACTATTAAATCAAAATGCATCATGGTTTTGCTGAAGTTCATAAAGTAAGCCGTAGAGAAAATGCTTGACCACCCATTTGGGGCTGAACTATTATTATCTGCCTTTCTTCCTCTGTCCTCTTGAAATCTACAAAGATGACCAGTTCTTAATAGCACAAGGTGAGAGCCAGGTGGTCCTGGGGTGTTGGCTGCATCGCTGTTCCTTGCTGGGAGCTAGGGACTCCCTTTTCGAGACCAGCCTTGTAGCATGTGTTGGAGAGGAATGAGGTGCTCACCCTGTCCCTTCTGGGGGCAGTCAGTGGTGGTGGCCTGTTTCCTTTTTTGCCTGTCATCTTCTCAAGTGCACATATTTACACAGTTTGTACCTCTGGTATCCCACCAGCACCTTGGATGATAGGAATGGATTGCCTGCTTCCCCTCACCACCACCCTGTGGACCGAGTGAATGTTCCAGACACACAGTGAAACCAGCAAAGTCAAGCCCTTGGTTTACCCTTTTCCACCTGATCTCTGCTGTGAAAGGCCCCTACATGGTGTGTGTGTGTGTATATATATATATATATATGTATGTGTGTGTGTGTATACACAAGGTGTGTATGTATACACACACACACACACACACACACACGTGGATGTTTTTTCCCCATAGATGTGAGCATTTCTCTGCGTAACAGGCAGATGGCATGTGTGTGTACATAGCCATCTTAATTTCCGTCTTACCTGTAGCAGGTGGGTGTATGTCTCAGCGGATACTTGTGAATGTGTGTATGGCTGGATGCCTGAGGGTGTTTGTGTTGCTACAGATGCCCTATTTGAGAGATTTCCTAGCAGCTAGATTCTTGCATGGGGATCCTATAACCTGAAAACGGCAAGAAACAAAGAAAGGTCAAGCTCTAAGAGAATTACTACTCAAATTTCACTACCCTGGAAGCCTTACTATCTATTTCTTAATATAACTTACCAAAAGAAAGAAAGAAAAAAAAATAACCAGTGATTGGTCACTAAAAGTAGCACAGAAATATTAGTATATTTATTTAAATCAGCCTGCAGCAGAGACCCTGCTAGAATAAAGTGATGTTAAGTATTTCTGAGTAGTGTTTTTGCTTTATGGATCTTGTTACATACAGAGAATAAATCACGACTGTGAATTTACGACTATGTCACCATGTCATATTCCATTATAAATAAAATGTGGATTGTTCTTGAGCCCCTAGTGCAGTTCTTGAATGGTTAGATCCTCCATCAGAACCACTGTTCTTAGCTTTAATCACACGGATGCCCAGAATATTAGATTTTGGGTCACTTTTTGACAAAATGTGTGTTGGTCACAGATGAAAAGGAATCACACTGACACATATTTATCAGGTATTGTATATCAGATCCTGCTCTGCACAGCCTTGCAATCCCCACATTCTTTTGAGATAAGAATTACTCAGTTTTGCAGGTGAGAGAAAAGGAAGGTCAGACAGGAAGGTACTTGCCCAAGGACCCATGGCCAGTAGGTGGAATTTCAAAGAGGTGTTTGATACCAGTCCCTCTCTGTCCACTATACCCCAAAGCATGACCCAAGTGGCTTGGCATTTCTGAATGTGGAGGAGGGACCTAGAGACACACCTTGCATCAGAACCTGCAGTGGGGCATTGCTTGGGAGCCAGGATCACTTCTTTCAACTTGGGGTTTGCACTATATAGTCCCTTCGATTTTCTCCCTTAGGCCGGAAGGTTTCCTGGGGTAGTCCATGGAAAGAACTCAAAAAGGCCCCTTCTTGCTGGAGAGCCTACCAGACAGCCAGTGTTGCAGCTGCTGCCAGACACAGGAGTGCTGTGGGTCCCAGCAGCCACCTGGAGTTTTGCCTCCCCACCTTCCTCCCCTCCCTGCTGGCTTGGGCAGAATCCATCTGGGCCTTGGGTGCAGAATGGGCATCTGGGCCTTCGGTGCACCTGGCCTGGCCTCTTCTTGGTGCAAGGACACCATTATGCTCAGCCCTGGTGGGAGAGAGGCTGTCTGCAGGGCAGCCTGGGAGGTCTGGAGCCTGGGGATCTTGGCTCCTTGACGTAAGTGTTCTCAGCAAGCAATTTGCATCCCACTACTTCCCCACACCTGCCCTCAGGACTTGACAAAACAGACAGAAAATGGGACTAGGGTGGGGAACTATTTTTAAGTTTTGGATTCAGTTGTGCGTCAACCATTTTCTGCCCAGCTGCTTGTTTCCGTGGGAGGCAGGAGATGGAGGGTGGGGTGCTCATCCCTCAGGGTTGCTTCTCCTACAGAAAGAAGATGAGCTTTCAAAGGGTGGGTAAGAAATGTAAAACTACTGAATAAAATCAGACTTTAGGACTCTGCGAGTCCTTTTGGCTAGGTCCTGTCCCGTTTCTTCCTAGATAACCCAGTTTGTTTCACCTGCGAAATAAATCTCTTTAATGCATTGTTAGAGTCTCCCCAAGATTCCTAAAGCCTGAGGCAGCACAGAAGAGTTTGCTTTCAATATGGCACGACCAGCCTACCAGTTCTGTCTCCCTCAGAAACATCAGTGTTTTTAATCTTAGAATAAAAGACTTTCCTCTTAAGCCCCCAGGACAAATGCAACAAGCCCCCAAGCTATTATCTGAACTGTGTCTTAGGTACTTCTTTTGGCACTGGATTTGGATGTGGACCGCAGTATTTGAATGTACAGCCGCCTGGACTTACCTGTGTTTCTATGTATCTGAAATTTCACTTGTGGCCAGGAGCCTTCATTTGTGAAGTTGTTCATCCTTTAGGAGTTTTTAAACCCTAAGAAGTCTAGGAAAGGTTCATCTGAGAGGACAAGGAACTATGGCTCAGGGAATTATCTATGGGACCTGGGCATCTGATCTGCAGGTGACAAGTCTAGTTCAACTTATTGTGGGAGATTTAGATAGATGCGCATTCATCACTGTTCTAGGGACCAGGAAGAAAGAGGTGGCCGTGGCTTTCGTGTGCAAGTGCCCCTCAGTTCCAGAAATACAGAAATATTCAGACATACACAGAAAATTGAAGTATTATATCTTAGTATTTAGGTACTAAGTGCTTAGTACTAAGTACTTAGCATTATGTCAGTACTAGTACTTATGTGTTAGTACTTAGGGGGGAACATACGAAAAACTAAACTTTAATGATAATTCCTTATTTTACGATGAATTTACTCTGGGACCCCCTAAATTTTGACATGTTTAACCAGATTTGATTTCTAAGCTGTCATTTATATATACAACTATTGCATAGAGGGCAGAACACCAGCAAGGAAGATGTAGGACATATACTGACTCCCCAGGGTAGTTGACTCACTTTGTGGTTGTCACATCCTCGACAACGGTGCTAATGAGAGGCCCAGAGAGGCCTGGGCCAGGGATTATTTGAGAAGAGATTAATTGACAGTTGCTTTTGTTAGCAGGACTCCACATTTCTAAATTTCTACTCCAGCATCAAACAGAAAGTTCAGTGATAAAATCATTCTATCTATTTCTGATGGAGTCAATTGCAAAAAAACGTGGTCAGTAACCTTTTATGTTCTTTCCAATTAGTTCCGTACTTTGTAACTGGGAGGGACAGTTTTGCAAACTGGCTTTGCTGAAGGTCACTGGTCACTCTATGTATAAGACAGCCTGAGTGTGGGCTGCTGCATTAACTGGGTGGTGGGCTCTATTGGGGCATTCCTAAATGTGCAAAGGAATGAATTAGACACCAGCAACCATCTATGCAAGTCCATTTACATCTCCAAGTTTATGCTACGAGGCCTCTTCTCATTGTGATGTTAGTAGCAGTGTTAGCATCTGTCGTGGTCACGGTATAGCTGGTCTCCAAGTTACTTTGTTCCCTTTTGGGTCCTCCAGTGATAGCCCTCCCCCATCTCAATTAACTATAAAACATTTTTTATTCTGTAAACATGGAAAATAAACTGAGATCCCAAATTGTATATTGTTTCTTTCTTTTGTGTGATTATTTCAATCTAAAAAGTTTTTTTTTTTTTTTGGTAAGGGAACATTTTCACTCTTGCATAAATTTGATTTCCTCTTAAAGACAACCATTTTAGTCAGCATTTTTCGCTGCTGTGGCCAAAGAACCTGAGCAGAACAACTGTAGAGGAGGATTTCAGTCCATAGACAATTGGCTCCATTCCTTGGGGCTTGAGGTGAGGCTGAACCTCATGGCGGAAGAGTCTGGCAAAGGGAAGCAGCTCACATGATGGTCAGGCAGCAGAGAGAGAGACTCCACTCATCAAATACAAAATATGCACCCCAAAGGTGTGCCCTCAAGGACCCAACTCCTCCAGCCACACCCTACCTGCCTCCAGTCACCACCCAGTTAATCCCATTAGATGATTAATTCACTGATTGGGTTCAGGCTTTCCTAACCCAACCATTTCTCCTCTAAACCTTCTTGCCATCGTCTCACACATGAGCTTTTGGGGGACACCTCACATCCAAACCAAAACAACAACCTGTCGTGTTTTTATGGAAACCAAGACAGTTTAATAGATTTGGAAAGTAGAATTACTATTGTTGCAAAAACTACTGGTTGCTTTTTATGATCATTTTATGGTGAAGAAAATGTTTTGAATGAATGGATCACTAAAAATGGAAACCTTAGGCCCTAAAACTTGGAGATGAAGCAGGCCTTTTGATTTGGAGTAAATCAACTGAAAGAGATACTGAGTCAATTAAAGAGGAAAAGTGCCAGACCCTGGATTGGGGTGAGGGGTGAGTACTGGATTGTTTTTGTGAGTGGCTTGCTTGGCAATTCAATTTAAATTACTTATTTTAGGTAGGTCTGTTTAAAGAGAACTTGATTATTTGACAGAGAAATGTTGGTAATTACCTATTGCTAAACTCAGATATCCTTTACCTACATGGAATGTTGATGGTACTCGATTATATTCTTATCAGTTGCATGGTCAAAGATCAAAGAAAGCAACTGACTTGAAGATATTCATTGTGCAGATTATTGATAAACTTTTTCTTTGGGCCATCGGCCAAGATGTGCACAGTTCATAACTGTGCATGCAAGCCCTGCTAGAGAAAAGACTGAAGCCGTATGCAGATAGAAACCAAAGGCTCTTCTTTTCATTCGTTACCCATGTCGTAGCTATAGAATTTGGAGGCGTTTTAAGAATCTCAGATGACACACCATCAGATCATGGAAGTGGAGTGAGGGATATTGGGATGGCACCAGGTACAGCAAGAGCCAGAGAAAACCCCCCAGTAGGAGAGTGTGCATGGGTGGGATCCCTGCTGTAGGAGACATGAGGCGATTCTCCATTGGTCTTCCTGAAAGTATTCTCTAATCACACAGGCTCACATATGGGCATGGATAATCCAAAATCATCATTGACTTTTGGGTATGCACTCTGTGTTCATATCTGCATGTGCTTCTGTGATCGGAGACTTTACAATGTCTTGGGCAAAATGAAGATGCATCTGCAGAACAGACACAGGTGCCTCAAACATTTTTTTTCCCTTTCTAGCTTTCTGATCAATTCTTCCATTCACCCCCACATTTTTTGCCTTCAGTCACCTGCACATGGTTAGATTTAAGGATCCATCCTTTTATTTTATTTTTTCTCTTTTTAAAATTTGTTCTTTTTAGATATACACGGCAATAGAGAATATTCTGACCTATTATACATACATGGAGCATATCTTATTCTAATATCTGTCGAATTTTTCAATGAGCAAATGTTTATTCAAATGAGGACATGATAGTATGCTCAATGCCAAAACTACCAGCTACAATCTAACTGTCTATGATTTGGGGGGAATTGTTAGAGTTTTATGAGGTCCCAAGATTATCATTAAGAATTCCAGTCATCATTGCTCCAAAGAGTTTAGATTGTTAAATTGTCACATTAATCCCCAAAGAAACTGTTAATTCACCTTGCAAACATTTGGGTCTGGGGATGCATTAAGTAGATGGCTGCAGCCAACCCATTCCCGGAGTGTGGGGCTTGGCGCTTCTCCTCTCCCCGCCACCCCAGTGTGCTTTACTTCTCATGATGGCTGTTTTGAAAGACTTTACTCACTTCCGAAAAATAGACTATCCCACACTAGAAATCGTCTCACTAACTAAACCAAGGAGATTCTCTGTTCCCACTTATGTAGCGAAATTTATGTAGCAATTAGCTATCCTAAGAAAATCTGAATAGATGATGGTGTGTAGCCAAAAATCTTTTTCTGATAAGATTTACCTTCAGTAATCACTAGATTTGTTTTTTTTTTTTTTTTGCATATTCTTATTAGAGATAATCGTTAGAAAATTCGCTTCGCATTGTGATTAAAGAGTATTTAGACAGATAAGATTTGTTAAGTACCTATCAAAACGGAGGCACTGAAGATGTAACCAAATCAGCCTGCCTTTTCCCTAAGGTTAATTGCAAACTAACAAGTGAGAAACTCATGCTGGGGAATGAATGGTCAATCCGTTGTAGATTCCATAAGAGAAGGCTGCGCAGGGTGAAGTGAGGATTCAGTGGAGGAAATGGCCATCTTGTCTGAGGCATGACTGAAAAGGGGTCATGGTATTAAGACAGCCGGGAATTTGCTGGGGCAGGACAGGCATTCCAACAGACAGAAGGGCAGGAACCACAAGGCTTGGAGGTTTTAAGCAACCAGGCGGCTTCCACCAACTTCAGGTTCTAAGATTAGAGGGTTAGGGAGTGGGAGATGGCATGAGAATGTGACGGGAAGCAGCTCATATTCCTACAGAGGAAATTGACTTTTGCCCATGACAAAGCTAGACTTATCCCCCCATATTTTGCCAGTGGTGCTAACTTGATTTCTGCTAAACTAACAAGTGGGTGCCATAATCCTGAACTAGGTAGCTGGATGCCATAATCCCAAGATGAACACTCCATGTGTGATCCATGTCTCTGGTGGAGGTCGCCCCAGCTAGTCCAGTGCTTCTCTCACCTGTGAGCCTGGTATCACTAGACTCAGTGCCACTCAGACTTGGCTCTTCTCCTAGGGAGGAAAGACACTCGGAGGACTTTGGGTTTTTACCAGACACACTTGTATCTCCTCCCCAACCTCAGACCCCATATCCTAGACTCCACATTTGGCAGTCAAAATGTTTCCATTCAGAGTTTACTGTTTGGCCTCTTAGGCTAAAAAAAATAATGTTTAAACATCTATCGGGATGGCATAGCATATCAGGAATAGAGTGCCATAAAAAAATGTCAAGCATGAGCCTGGCGTGATCAATTTTCTGCTGTGGAATGATCCCTTGATTTCAGTATGCAGTCTGGACTGGAGCAGAGAGGCCAGTTGGAACCTTGAAGGAATCCAGATGAGAGAAAAAAAGTCCTGTCCATATAGTAATGGTGGTGGAAGAGAGGAGGCCAGGGCTTGCTCTCCATGAGATGCAAGAGTGAAGGGCCCTAGGGCTTCTGGCTTGAACACTGTCAGAGGGGGAGGCCCCTTCCCACCACCCTGCTGTACGAAGATGGACCTTTTCCAAAATGCTGCCGGGCTTTTTATTCTAGCCCTGATTATTGTCCTGGTTAGTAGGTAACCACCTCTTGTCCAAGTTTCTAAGGGTGAAGTTCCCAGGTGGGGGTCTAGCCTTTCGATCCTCCTTAGGCACGCTCACTTGGGGGCAGAAAACTGGGAAGTGCCTTTTCTTAAACTCTAGTCTCCTAAGTTCTGCTTTTCCATAATAACGGTGATATTTCGGAATGTGCTGACTTTTTGACCTGATTTTTCAATTGGTAAATATCTTAGAAAGAGAGCTACCTTTTAAGGAAATCGCTTTAGAGCTCCAAAGCTGTGTTGATCCCAGATGCCCACCGGACAGGGGCAATGGACTCAGGGCTTAAACTCAGGCCAGGCCACAGAGAGAGGAAGTGGGAAACCTACAGGTGGGATCAGATGACCCAGTCGAGTGGGAAGTCGGGTGGTCTCCAACCTTGGCTTGGGTCAGTCGTCCCCTGTGACTAGGGAGAGGTTCAGTACCCAGCTTTGGGGATGGCGTGGACATAGCTCTGGGCTGGTGAGAGGTGTCTGTGTTTTCTAAAAAAAAAAACTTCAGTGTGATCCTGATGCTCACTTCACAGGGCTGCAAAACCCTGGAACTTAACCTGGGAATGTTAGGTTTTCAGACAGAGCCTCAGGAACCGCATTTAAGAGGAATCTGGGTTGTCAGGGTCTGTGGATCCAAAACCATTTGATAATGACTTATAATGAATAATATTAACATGATGGGATTCCCAAGGACCTGAAGAGCATGCAAGCTTGTTACAGAAGAGACAAGTTCATTTCAAGTTTTGGGATTTTTTTTTTAAACAGTAATACATTTAAAATGTTCATTCTGGATAACATAATGAATCTGATCTCTTTTTTTTTTCTTTTTCCAACAGCAGGGCCAGATCTTGTGTTTCTAATTAGTCCACATTTCAGATGTTATTTAAGTTGATTATGGTCTCAGAATGAAAGAAAAAGGGGCATTTGGTTCTAGCAATAAAAAATATTATGGGAAATTCACTGAGTCCATCTTTGCACAGTATCTAAGAAAAATAAGCAATCCTTTGATCTTTAAGGAATCAATTTAATTTAAATCCTTGTAAACAACAAAAAAAAGGGGTTGCATTGACATTCCTTCAAAGTGTTTGTGTGATCATGGGAAAACTACTTGAGTCCTTTGTCTTAGTTTCCTCATCTATAAAATAAGGACAATAGCAAGATGTGTCTCATAAACCTCTGAGGATTAAATGAGAATGAGATAACACATGTGAAGCACTTAACATAGTACTCTAGGTACATAACAAATGTTCCATGACTGTCAACCTAAAACGTTAAGACTAAAAGGCCCTGGGACTTACAGACAGGACTGGCTTAACCTCTCGTGATTCTAATGTGGGAGCACCATAACAAGATTCTAACTTAATGCACATTGCTCAGGCCTCTGAGAACAAGGAAATTTTCT